GAAGACAAACGGAAACGGTCGACTACCTACTAATCTTCTACCCTAATTCTCGACCTCCACACCCTACTAATCTCTAATGCAAAAATAAGAAATACAGGTTCTTGCCAACGCTTCTCTTCGGCTAACTAGTTGCTGTTTTCAATCTGTTTGAGATTCAAATTGTTATTTATGGAAATAACAAGACTATTGTGAATCAATCAGTTGCTGGCTCTATACAATGGCCTTACCGTTGGTATTGCCTATCCCCCAAAGAGGATTATAAGCTTCTTTGCCAAAAAACATGCATCAAGAGGTACAGTGCTAGACACCATAGGGGAAGCTGCTTTCGTACCTCCAGCCTTTCAAGAATTCGTGAAGTTTTATCATCAAATTTTCCAGTACTTTGACTGCTTTTTGAGCCAAGTTATAGCATGGGGGAGAATACTTAATGTGCAGTCTCCTCAAAGACAAATTTAAAAGCATTTATCATGCAGACCAGTTAAGATTGATCTACTCCCATGAGAAAAGTACGATGCCATAGACTAAAGAATGAAAGAACTAAAAAAAGTCATGAGGCATAGATAAAGTTCCATTCATTCAATTTCCTCTCCTCCCAATTCTTTACCTAAAGAAACTACCCAAGAAAAGCAAATACACAAATCTATGCCTAAAGTGACTATAAACCACATCATCAATTAGTTACTGACAGCCATCATCACTTAACATGTGATGAATAGAAAGAGCAAAGTGACTGCATAATGTCAATCCACACTAAACAGTGCATAATCGGTTTTCTGTGTGATGCTTACTTGACCATCCTTGGGAGAACATTAAACAGAAGAACAAATCTCAACTAAATACTCATTTAGCGTTGATTATCTCCTCTGAACCCTCTTTGTTCTGGAGGGGCATAATGTTGATTATCTCCTCCGAAGCCTCTTTCCTCTGGAGGTCCATAACCTCTCTGGTCTCTTTGAGGAAAATGATTTCCTTGCTCTCCTTGATTGTAATTAGCCTGATATTGAGGTCTTGAGTCTTGTCTGCCACTCTGGGAATTATCCCATCTCCCTGGGCTGCTACCTAGAGGTATTTGATGCCTAGGATCCCCAGTTCCTTGAGGCCCATAATTCTGTTGAGGTGAAAAGCTTGGCTGAGGGCCATGATTCCATTGAGAAGGAACATTCTGAGGTGCACTGTAACTCTGCTGAGGCAATGGATTTTGTGGCCGCCCATAGTTTTGCTGTGGAGGACTCTGTGGTGCGCTGTAAATCTGTTGAGGTGGCGGAGAATACTGTTGCGAACCATAGTTCTGCTGGGGTGGAGGATATCTTGGTTGGCCATAGTTTTGTTGGGGAGGAGGACCTTGTGCTGCACCATAGTTCTGCTGGGGTGGAGGACCTTGTGCTGCACCATAGTTCTGCTGGGCTGGAGCACCTTGTGGTGGCCCAAAGTTCTGCTGAGATGGACTCTGCGGTGGGCCATAATTGCCTTGTTGAAACTGTGGGCCTCTTCGAGGCCTGTTACTAGGCCGTGATGGTCTTTGAAACTGTGGAGGAGGAGGTCTCTCAATAATTTCCCCATTGATATATTTGTCACCTGATTTTAATAGCACGAGAGAAGCAAACCCACAAGGGAAACCACAATAAAATTCAAGATAATAACTTTAAAACATAATCATGGTTTTTAAATGCTAATCAAAAATAACATTCAAACCTCCATATTCCTTGTTTACTGGATCAATATAGGAATCAGGGAGTACAAACACAACACCTGGCAGGCCTGATTGCAGACAGAAGCTCTATATTAAAACCAAAAATAAATTTATCGTTGCTCAGAAGGAAAGATACAACATCATATACACTCACCTTCAAACTTCTTTGACGTTTCCTCTGAACACAAGACCTGAAAACCATTGTAAGTTGTTGTGCTCAAGGCATAAATCTTTTTCTTAGCCTCTTCCACACTGTATCATTTAAACAATACGAAGCCACAAAGCAACAAAGTCTTAAGTCAATGATAGGAAGTTCCACCTGATTCGATATCACATTCAACCAAATATTTACTTAAAGGCAGTTAAGTTGGAAAAAACAAGAGATAATTTATTCTATTAATATCACAAATCATACCAATTAGTGATATACAAGAGAAGAAAATATCTTCCAAACACAATAATGCTGAGACTACTATGCAGGCAGTAATAGGAATAATCAAAAGAGTGAAAGACAGCAACAGAATCAATTATATACCAACTAACTTAGAGCTATCTGATAGGACCCTTATCTATGATAAGTTGATAACTCAAAGCTTCCAAGTTCCAATGTATATTGCATTCAAGATATGATTTCGGGTAATACTTCTTCGGCTTTCTTATTGACTGCATACTAACAACTGACATCAGAACCAACTCCAACAAAGTACTTGAGGGAAATGATCATCATTATTATTATTTCAAATACATGTTTTTCCACTTTGAAGCAAACTTGATCTATCTAAACAGAGAGCTCGTCTGACCAAAGATCTTATACCTACATCATTCAATAATTGCAGCTCTTTAAGTTCTAATATATATTGCATTCAAGATATGATTTGGGGTAAAACTTCTTTGGCTTTCTTATTTGACTGCATATTAACAACTGACATCAGAACCAACACCAACAAAGTATCAGAGGGAAATGATCATCATTATTATTTCAAATACAATATCTTTCCACTTTGAAGCCAACTTGATCTATCTAAACAGCGAGCTCAGCTCACCAAAGATCTTATAACTACATCATTCAATAATTACAGCTCTTCAATGAATATATTAATCTTCGGCAGAAATTAAAAGTGTTCAGCCAGAAGATATAACAACAATCTTATTTAACTCAATAGCTTTCAAGCTTATCGAATCATCCTGTACCTACAACATCAAATAATTCCACCTACTTAACGGGTATATATCAAGCATGTAAATACAGAGACTTACTAAAATTAAATTTGACCAGACAGAACATGACTTCCGAAAATAACATATAAAATGCACAATAATAGAAATTGGCTGACCTTCCAAAGACTTTAGCAGCAGTCTGCACATAAGTCTCAATCATCTCTTCCCTGGTGAGTTGTGTATCTTTAGGAAAATCGATTGTAATAAGCCAATGTTCATAATCACATCCTTCGAAGAGGATCGTATCCGGACCAATTTCATCATCAGCGGGGTTCCGGTTCCGGTCAAATCTCGAGGACTGTGAAACTGCAGATGACCTAAATAGCCTCGACGATTGGTACGGAAACTGAAGAAGCTTAGTAGACGAATTGCTAATTTGGGAGAATGATGGAGGAATTGAAGAAAGAGGATTTGGTTGACGGAATGTTTGAGTGAAAATGGAAGAGGAAACAGAGAGTGCTCGCCGGAGACGGAGACCGTACAGCGCCATCGAAGATGGGTAGGTTCTGAACTTAGGGTTTAGGGTTTAAGAATTGAAATAGAAATAGAGAAGAGAGAGAAGCTTAGGATTGTCATTTGGGAATTTTGAGACTTGGTACTGAAATTCGAGTTATTTTCATTTCGCACCCCTAATGTATGCATCAGTTTCATTTGCACCTCACCTTTTGCTTCCTTTATTTATATATTTTTATTTTATGAATTTTACTACCTTTTATTTTCCCTATGCATCACATTTTTTAGTTGTACCAATTTATGCAACTTCCTTTGTACCTACTCTTGAAAAATTATTAAACATTGGAATAATACCTTTTAAGGCGCTATAGAGTGGTATTAGCTATCGATTGTTTCATGACAATCAATAGATTTCTCACGTTCGAGTTCCATGCTTGGTACTAGCTTTAAAAGTAAGATTTTCAGAGTTGAGTGTAATTAAGAAATATTTAAGTTCTTCCAATAGGAATAATAGACATAAGAATCCAGTTTCATCATTATTTTTCTATACTAATTGTCTATACGTATAAGCTAGTCTATATTGTTATTATAAAATACGAATTCTAAAGTGAAATGTTGATCGACTGAAAAAAGCTCCACAATTTCAATAGGTGAAAAATATATGTGATGTGTTAATGGACTTTTTATACTCCTTAAGAATCAAATTATTTCTTCAAATAGATAATTTTCATGTCACACAAAATTGTAACCCCAATAATCTAATGGGATCCTCCTACACCAATATTAGACTTTGAAACCAAATATTCATTGACTTCCTCCCCTAAATTGTTGTTCACTTTTAGTGCAAAAATAAGAAATACAGGTTCTTGCCAACGCTTCTCTACGGCTAGCTAGTTGTTGTTCTCAATGTGTTTTCCGCCATTCAAATTGATATTTATGGAAATCACAAGACTATTGTGATAGTGTGATCCATGTATCATTGTTGGCACTACGGCAGTTCCTATGTTCATCGGATTGTTTTTGACTTTATATTGTTAAACAGAAATTACGTTTCTTAATCCCTTTAGGAACGCTACATTTTTGTGTGCAATTGTGTCATACTGTTTTCTTTTAATTAGTTCGCTTCGTCTCGACACCTTTCATGATATCATGTCACTCACTCCATGTGATCTCATCTTTGCTGCAAATTAGTAGACAACAAACTCTCACACTATATTACTAAATTGTCAACTGAATATTTAGATTTTGTTGGGAAAAAGAAATCCTATCCTAATTCTAAGACTCATGAGGATTTGCTTAGAGATAGAGAAGAAGGGTGAAGAAGAAGAAGAAGAAGAAGAAGATGACCTAGAAGTAGTCGTGTATTCTGCCCACAGAAAAGTTAAGGGTCCTTTGGATGAGTTTATGATAAGATAAATTATATAGTTAGTGAGTTAGGTGGGAGGAATAAATAATTCTGTTATTGCATATGCAAGTCTGTACATATACATGTACAAAGCAATGAATAAGACACACATCGAATTTTTCAATTAGATTTCTTCTTCAATTTCGTACATGGTATCAGAGCAATAAGCTCGATCTAACAGTCGAAACATCAAATCCATTTACATCAGATTCATCATCTAATCAGTAACCTAAAATGCCTGAAACAACAACCACATCTACTGGTGATACGAGTAATGCTGCAAAACTAGTCAGCTATGATATCAATCACCCTTATCATCTCAATAACTCTGATTCACCTGGAATGACTCTAGTCAACACTGTGTTTGATGGAAGAGGATACCCAAGGTGAAGGAGATCTATCTCCTATCTTTGTCAGACAAGAAGAAACTTGGTTTCATCAATGGAGCATGTCAATCTCTAGATCTGAAATCTCCATACCATGAACAATGTAGTTGTGTAAATGACATGATCATCTCTTGTATCCTAAATGCTCTCTCAAAGAATATTGCAGACAGTGTGATATACTCCAAAACTGCAAAAGAGCTTTGGAACAGCCTGGAGCAGAGATTTGGGAGATCAAATGGAGCCAAGCTTTATCATCTACAGAAGGAGTTATCAGGTTTAGTACAGGAAAACAATGACATTGCAGGATACTTCACTAAGCCCAAACGACTGTGGGATGAATTAGATGCTTTAAATGTTATCATATGTTGTCCATGTGTTTGTGTTTGTAAAGGAAAGAAAAAGTTGAATAAGTCTCTTGAGGATCAGAGATTGATCCAATTCCTAATGGGATTAAATGACATCTATGCACAAGCAAGAGGAAATATCCTCATGATGAACTATTTGCCTAGCATAGATATTGCTTATTCACTTCTCTTGCAAGATAAAAATCAAAGAGAAGTTTATGCAAATGCACATTTTTATTCTGAATCAATATTACTCATGGCAGCTGGAGAGGCCAAGCAATATAATGTACAACTTCTAACTGATTTTGCAGCTTTTATGATCACAGGACAAGGGAAGAATTATTAGAAATTTAGAAACCAAACACAAAGAGGAGCAACCATAGCACCAAATATAACAACTGAGGGCAAAAATTTGTTAAACCTCAGCAAAGGTTTAAAGGGAAAAGGAAGTACAATCCAAATGTGTCTTGTACTTATTGTAGAAAAACAGGACATACACAAAAGGACTGCTACATAATTATTGAATTTTCAGAAGATTTTGAGTTCACCAATCACAAAGGTTATCAGAATCAAATTAAAGGAAATGCAGTCCTAACACACGAGGAACGTGAGAATTCAGCAGGATAAAGTACTGAGCTCAACAACAGTAATTTTGGACAGCAACTCAGCAAGGAATAAATTGCAGAAATGATGTACATATATAAGCAGGCAAAGTTAGCACATGCAATAAATACATGAATCAATGCTAATTCAGTTACTGGTATTATTCTAAAATACTTAGGTTCAGTGTTTACTAGTCTAAAATCAGACACTTGAATCATTGATTCAGATGCGTCAGAGCATATGTGTTTTGAACCTAATTCTTTCCTATTTCTAACTCCACTTCCTATACCTTTGAATATCAGTTTATCTAATTCTTTCAAGGTGATTGTTACTCATATATGGAGTATTTCTATTCTGCCATTTCATATCCTGAACACTATGTTACTTGTTCCGGATTTCAAATATAACTTATTGTCAGTTAATAGGTCTTGTGTTCAGATCAAGTATGATTTCCTATTCACATCTATTGGGTGTGTGTTGCATGGCCTTTTAATAGACAGTTCACAAGTTTTTGGTGAAGTTAGAAAGAGACTCTACTTATTGGAGCCAAGTAGTGTTGAGTCTAAGGGGATATTCAGTAGTAATGTACTTTCAATTCCAAAAGGAAGAAATTCCATTTAGAGTCTATTTCCTTTTCTAGTCTAGTTCAAGTTAATGCTACTCCTGATATTGAACTTTGGCATGTAAGATTGGGACACCTCCTATTTTCAGCAATGAATCATTTAGATTTTCTTCATTGTAAGTCAAATTCTAAGTTTATCTGTGATGTTTGTCATAAGGCTAAGCAAACGAGGAATCCTTTTTTTCTGTCAGTAGCATAAAATCTAAGCATATTTTTGAACTTATAAATGTAGACACATGGGGGCCTTATAAGTCAAATACTTACAATGGATTCAAATATTTCCTTACTATAGTAGATGACTATAGTAGAGGAACATGGACATTTTATTAAGTGCAAAAGGTAATATTTTTCCTATGCTTAAATCTTTTCTGTTTATGGTTGAAAGGCAATTCAATGTGAAAGTCATAATGATAGGATCTAACAATGCATTAGAATTGGGAAAAGGTACACAAGAGGCAGGTTTCCTAGCTTCAGAAGGAATTCTGCACCAACTATCTAGTGTAGCAACTTCTCAACAGAAAGGAATTGTTGAGAGGAAGCATAGATACCTCTTAGAGATTGAAAGAGGGTTAATGTTTCAATCCAAGCTACATATGTCATATTGGGGTGAATCTATCCTAACTTCCACACATCTTATTAATAGGATGCCTTCTAGTGTTCTTAAAGGAAAGACACCATATGAGGTTTTATTTCAAGAGAAACCCAAGTATGATCATTTAAGGAATTTTGGATGCCTCTGTTATGCTTATACAGTAGCCCAGGGAAGAGACAAGTTTGATGATAGGGCAACAACTTGTGTTTTGCTTGGTTATCCCTTATCATCATAAGGGATATAAGCTATTAGAATTGTCCACAGAAAGAGTATTTGTGCAAAGGGATGTGAAATTTCATGAATCACACTTTCCTTTTGTTGAAACCAGCACATCACATCACCCTATATTCCCAAGCTTAACATTTACTACAGAACCTACCTATTCACCTTCATCACATGATCAATCCTCACCCATCTCTTTAGAACCTAAAGTTTCTGATATTTTCTCCTCACCATCACCAAATTCTTCATACACTCTTTCTCATCACCAATTGTCTACTAGCCCAGTTCCTTTTCAATTTATCCCAGATACACCACACACTAGCTCACCTGTTTCTATACCACTGAGAAAGTTAGGAAGAGTTTCCAATCAACCAGCCTACTTGAAAGATTATATATGTAGTAACATTATGTTCACAAATGTAGCAGCAACTTGTTTCACTCAACCAAGTAAGCCTCGGGAATTTTTTTTTTCTTGTCACCCAACAATCAACATGTGCTGCAATCCCTCTCTACTATCACAGAACCTAACAATTTTGGACAGGTTTGTCAATATCTATGTTGGATAGAAGCTATGAATTCAGAGATTAAAGCTCTAGAAGATAACCACACATGGGATGTTGTTGAATTACCTAAAGGGAAAAGAGCTCTACCTTGAAAATGGGTATACAAGGTAAAATATTTGTCAGATGAAAGGATTGAAAGGTTGAAAGAAAGGCTGGTGGTCAGGGGGATATCCAAAGAGAAGGAATATATTATAGTGAGAATTTTTCACTAGTGGTGAAAATGACAACCATAAGGTATTTACTCACTATTGCAGCCAAAAGAGACTGGAATGTGTGTCAATTGGATGTCAACAATGCATTTTCGCATGGTGATCTACAAGAGGAAGTGTACATGAGGTTTCCAACAGGTTTAACACCTCCTAGTCCTAAGCATATTTGTTTACTAAGGAAGTCATTGTATAGTTTAAAGCAAGCTTCCAGGCAATGGTATGCTAGGCTTGTAGGAGCTTTGAATTTTAAGGGGTGTTCTTCATCATTAAATGATTGCTTACTATTCTTTAAACACAGAGGAAACCTGATTTCTATTGTATCTGTCTATGTAGATGCCATACTGCTTATTGGAGATGACTTGGAAGAAATTCAACATATAAAGACATACATTATTTTTTAGGGATGAAAAGGTTTAATTGTAAGCTAAAAGAGATTTACCTTGGATATGCTGCAGGAATTTGATGTCTCCCATTTGTCTCGAGTCAGTTCTCCTCTTGATCATTCTTCCATGTTTCAAGCTGATGATGGTCATCCTTTGCAATATTCAGCAGTATTTCGTCATCTAGTTGGAAAGTTGAACTATCTCACTAGCACTCGCCCGAACCTTTCTTTTGCGGTCCTTACCCTCAGTCAATACATGCAAAGACCCTGTAAGTCTCATTTCTCTACTGCCTTACGAGTGCTCAAATATTTGAGCTCTGATCCAGGTCAAGGAATTCTTCTCTCAGCAGAATACTCATTCTCCTTGCTTGCATTTTGCGATGCTGATTGGGCCTCTTACAAGGATTCTAGGAGGTATGTTAGTGGATTCTTCATCATACTAGGAGGAGCACTCATTTCCTAGAAATCAAAGAAATAAGTGTCGATCTCTCTATCTTCTGCAGAGGCAGAATATAGATCTATGAGAAGAGTAATTGCTGAACTTACATGGTTAGTTCGACTCCTTGAAGATCTCTCTGCACCAGTAAGTCTTCCCATAACTCTTCACTCTGACAGCAAGGCAGCCATTCACATCGCCTGTAACCCTGTCTTCCACGAACGCACAAAACATGTCGAGATTGACTGTCATTTTGTGCATCAACAGTTCCTTTCCGGTTTAATTACCCTTTCTTTTGTTCCATCTAAAGACCAACTGGCGCATTTCTTCACAAAGCCACTTTCTGGGGTTTCTCACTCCGAAATTTTGAGCAAGTTAGGGGTCACAAAGTTACCCTCCAACTTGAGGGGATGTTGGGAAGAAGAAACCCTATCCTAATTCTAAGACTCATGGAGATTTGCTTAGAGATAGAGAAGAAGGGTGAAGAAGAAGAAGACCAAGAAGTAGTCATGTATTCTGCCCACAGAAAAGTTAAGGGTCCTTTGGATGAGTTTATGATAAGATAAATTATATAGTTAGTGAGTTAGGTGGGAGGAATAAATATTTCTGTTATTGCATATGCAAGTATGTACATATACATGTACAAAGCAATGAATAAGACACACATCAAATTTTCCAATTAGATTTCTTCAATTTCGTACAGATTTTCTTATGAACGAATTATAATTTTGTTTCTCTTGTTCCATTTACTAAGTAAAGTTTTTGGGCAGGACTTACTGTGATATCCACTTTCCGGGTTATAAAATGGCTGATGTGATGCACCTGAAATTGCTTGCTGATAGCAACATTTGCTCTTCATATTCTTTGTTGATTACTGGATTAGTTTCTCTGATCAATGTTGCTATTGAAGTATTCACTCCCATTGACTATTTTTGATTAAAATAAGTAGATGATAAGTTCAGATCGGTCTCCATAAAATCTTGACTAGACAAGTTTTAAGGATGCTCAGTTTCTTACATAATAGTCTTATTTCTGTTAATAAGACGACAAGCACGTAGGAAAGAAACAATGATATTTGATGAAAGTAATCTAGGTCCTGGTATTTTGGGCATTGTGGTAATCATGTGATTATGGTGCCACATTTAATGGTTGAACAACTTTCTACAGCTATTCAGTTATTCTGCAACTATTTTTGTTGGTTTGAATTTGGAACTTTTACATGATCGAATTACATACGGATCCGAAGATGCTTATTATTTTCAACGAAACCAAAAGGAACGTTACGAGTAAAACATTTATATAGTTCAAGGTCGTCATTCTTTCTAGATCATCAAACTATTTAGCCAATTAAAGTTTAAAGGCTGCGTTAAGACATTAAATTGTATTCCACACTTAATTCATTGGATTTAAGAATGGTATTCTAGTTGTGATTAAGATTCTCACATTAAATTGGAATCAACGTTATCCCACAATCTTATACGAAAACATAATTGGTCATGGGGACAGATGGAAGTAAGAGACATTGATCGATTCAACTTAACCTCGATATGAAAAGGAACGAAGACTGACCAAAACGAAGAAAAGGGGAAAAAGAGCGAAGAATACGGTAAAAGCCCGCAATCGAGCTAAAGGCACTTTTTCCTTTTAATATTGAGATCATAATGCCTCACTCTTCATGAAGTATAAAAAGACAAATTAAGAACTCACTAACAGGTCT